ACCCTGTTTCATCTATCGTTCTTAGCGAGACTGTAGTGTGAGGTAACAGCATTTAAAACAGAGCAGTGCCAACTTAAAAAGCTGAAAAGGGCACTAATTTCTGCAATTATTCCCATGGAATGCACAACTGGATTAAAAAAGATTTGATCTTTTCATATTCATCCTTCTGAACTGGATGTAAAAAATAAATCCCTTTGAACATTATGGCTACATTTTAAAGATGAATCCAGTAGCAGAAAAGATTTCCTATGGATAATTAATATATTTTGTACAAGTTGTAGGTGAAGGGAAAAAAAAAAGCATAAATACCCCAAGGTATGACAAGTTTGCGATATAGGTGATACATGATAGTAATTGACATCCTAACAACAAAAGACTATAAAGCTACCCTCGAATTATTTTCTTTTCTGTTTCTTCCCTATCTGCTCTTCCTCCTTTGTTTCCTCAGTGAGCCAGATGTGCCAGCAAGGCAATTTAATCTTCCATGGATAAAGAAAGTCTTCCTTTTCTAAGAAGGATAAAAACTTCTACTGGTCAAGGACAGAAAGCCCAAGAGGAGGAATTATCTACTGACATTGAGCTATGTTTTTTTTATCTCTAGGAACGGAAGCAGCAGTATTCTGGAAGAAGTAACATTGATTTAGATAGAATGTAAGGCAGACATCTTCTGTTTGATGTATGTTGCCTTCTGGACAAGAGTAGGACAATAGCTTGTATTCCCTGAACAAAATACCCCCTACTGTGTTTTCACCATCATTTAGTGAGAAGTATTTTATTCCCTTGTAACATTAAACTCTGAACCATGAGAAACTTTATGCTCAGTCATGAACCTGGATGGATGCTTATTTGAGGAGCTACCAATTGGTTAATACTTTTGGGCTCTTATGCCATGCATAACTGTGAGAGGGAAGAGTCATCACCTTATTCTGTATGGATAATAAAGTAAACCATGCCAGCCAAAGAGGTACAATCTGCCTTCTTGGTAAAACAGGCACAGAAACTAAACCTCAGCTATTGCATGTTTACTATCCTGAGCAACCTTTTTTTCATCATTTTTGTTACTGCAGTTTTGTCACAACAAAGCAGTATGCCAACCAGAGTCAATAAAGAACTATTTAAGAAAGTAACTTTTCAAAGCAGCAAACTTGCTAACTTTGGTTTAAATGTAAATACAGAACAAGACTTGCAACCGTGTTGTTTTCTTCAGAAATGCACAACATTTGCCATCTTGTCAAGATCCACCTTAAAAGTAGCTGACTGTTACATGTGATTCTTTATATTCCTTCTAAAAGAATCTTCCATTTTTTAAAAGGCCACTTTTATCTGCTGGTTTAAATACAAAGCAACCCTCATACTGCTATTATCTAGCCTACATTCCTGGCAAGCTTATGCTTAAGTGCTTTAAGAACATGAAGCACCTTGTTCCTTTCAACTGAATGAATGTATTTTTCACATCAAGCACATTCTTAAGTGTTTTGCAAAACTCTGGGCTTCTCAACAGAATAACTATATATATCGGTATCTATCTCCATTATTTCCTGAGGAGCCAATGACAGATGTAGGTATCCAATACTTCAGCCAGAATTAACATATTACTGGTTTCCAGCAGAGTACCTAATCCTGTATTATCAATGGGTTCTTCTAAACAAGAAAAAAATTATAAAAGGAAAAGCACAGCATGAGCAACCTATAAAGGTAGTGGAGAAAGCTGGAAAGGGCTACTAATATTCTAAATTAATCTTAGAGATTACAGGAAGTAGATATACAAAAAGGTAAGCCCAAACCAAGTTAACAGAGCAAAGATGGTCTCCATCTGATTGGCAAGGCTGAAGTACCAGGCTGTATGAGAAGGAGGATGACTAAGCCAGTGAAAACTGGAAAGTTGCACAACCTGTAGAAGAAACTCAGCAGATGAAGAACTTTACCCAAAAGAATGTACAAAATATGTCTCAACATCTAAAGGACTGTACTTCTACAGCATATTCCCAATGTTGCACACAAAGACGTAAACCGCTGTGGCAAAGGGTCTGAAACTCTCCTACAAGCAATCATGCGCAGCCAGACGTCACCTTGCTTGCTCTAAAGAGCTTAGTGCTTCCTACTGTGTAATAGACCCTTTGCTTCAAGCTCACAAAAATGCTTTCCTGCTGGACAGATGCAGAGAACTGTCTTGCATTCTTCCTCTGACACTAACAATAGACACAGGGTTAGCTGCAACCTGGACACACTGTAACAAGAGGGAAATTTCCATAAACTGCAGACCTAAAAAGCTGAGTGAAAAGCATCTCAGTCAGACGGGAACTCACTCAGCTGCACTATGTACAACAGCCTTTGTGCAGAAGTGCTCATGAGACACTAGTGTAGATACTGTAAGACAGAAACACAGTGTAGTATGATATGCTGTCACCATTAAGGTAGAATGTGACAGATACATTCAGAAAATATAAAATATATTCACACAGCTTCAAATTAAGAGAATACATGTGAAGCCAGCTGAATAAACAGCCCGCCCTTCTTTGGAACACACCGACATTAACAGCACTAATCAGACCAGCTCCTAACTATATCAATTTAGAAATAACATCCCAATGTTGTATTTACATCTTCCAGCTTTGCTTGAAACACATTACGATAAAGGGAACATTAAAAACATGCTTAAACTAAAATTATTATTCTGCAGTTGATCTGTAATTATATAGAACTCATTTATCTTCCCAGCTGCATTTAACCAAAGGGATTTGACCGCATTACCAGTGTTATTTAGCATACAGCAGTCATGACTAAACCTGCAGGTATTGACTAGTTGGCCTAGAGAACCCAAGCACCAGTCTGCTGGGTTTCAGAGAAGCCAATACTACCTAATGCTATGATCATCTCAGCCTGTTGTGGTTTAAGCCCCGCCAGTAACTCAGAACCATGCAGCCACTCACTCACTTCCCCCTCCCCACAGGGGTGGAAGGAGAATCAAAAGAATTTAAATTCCACGAGTTGCGATAAGAACAGTCCAGTAACTAAGGTATGATACAAAACCACTACTACTATCATCGACAACAAAAACAGTAAGGGAAATAACAAGGGAAGAGAACATAAAACTAAAAGGGGAAAAGGAAAATAAAACAACAAACACAAGTGATGCACAATACAATTGCTCACCACCAGCTGACCAACACCCAGCCCAACCCAAGCAGTGATCTGGGCCTTACAGGTAACAGTTTATATACTGGGCATGACATGTTGTGGTATGAAATACCCTTTTGGGCAGTTTGGGTCAGGTGTCCTGTCTCTGCTTCCTCCAGGCTTCCTGAGCCCCTCCTCACTGGCAAAGCATAACACTGAAAAGTCCTTGATCAAGAGTAAACATTACTCAGCAACAACTAAAAACACTGCTGTGTTATCAGCACTGTTCTCAGGCTAAAGTCAAAAAAAAACAGCACTGCATCAGTAACTAAGAAGGAGAAAAATAACTGCTACAGCTGAACCCAGGACACAGCCATAAAAAAAGACACAAAAATGTGTCAGAAACAAAACTGTATTTCTGAACTTCATATATTGTGTTCTCCACATTTTTGTATGCACTTCACTTGTTTTGTCTTAAAACAGCTCCAGACAAATTCAAGTTTTTCCTTTTCCACACAGGACATGCACTCGAATCTTTAGAACCACCTAAAAGATTGCTGGTTGACAGAGAAGAGACAGTGTCTTTATAAAACTATCTACCATTTTAAGCGAAAACAGTAATTGATGTTATTCAAATTAATATGTTACTTTATATGTTATGTTTCAATGCTTTTAGCTTTTTTTTTTATGCACCTTTAATAAAATATTTTTTTTTTTTGGAAACGTTTGCCACAGAATAGGTTATGCACCCAAAGCTTTAGACTTTTGAAACTTAATATGACCATCACATGTAACACTGAATAACTTTGATGCTGAGACACTCCAATTATTTTCAAAAGCTATCCTAGACATCTTAATTTTTGAAGAACTGCATCCTTCTAGCATGTATTTCCACTGAAATTATTAAATGCCTCTACAGTTACCCAGAAGTTTTACATGATCTTGAAAACATGGCCAGATAATTCAGTTGTGTCATGTAAGGCCACAGGTCAAATGCACGCAAAACAAGATAAGACGATATACGGATGTATTCCTTGCAAAGTTCTAGTTATCCAAATAATCCTTGTCTTGTGCAAGTGTATTTGCACAACATCCTTGTCTGCAACAACTGAGCTAATAGGAATGGGATGTGTTTCTGTAACAACACTGTTTTCTGGCCTCTGTAGTAAGACGGCAGGAGCAAAACAAGTTGCAAGAAATTGCACTGCAATACAGCTATGCAAATTCATGTCAGCAGAAAAATCTCATTTAATGACCCACTGGAATTTAAACCCAGATCTTGAAAACTGAGTTCTAGCACCTCTATTTTAAAAATGAAAGATCTTCCTCTTCCTATTACAGAGAGAAGCTGATTTTCCTCTCCGTGTATTTGTTTCAGAGCCCCTTCTAGTCAATTAAGTCTTTCCACTATGTGTATTGGGAAAATAAATATGACTTTGACAGGTCAAAAGGTTATGTTAAACCAGTGCTTCAAGACTCAGTGATGCCTTAGCTCAGCCTGGGGAAACAGTTTAGTTTTGAGTTTGGTCAGAGCTGTGCAAGATGAAACATGAAAACAGTGCTGTAATCACCTCCCACCCCACATTTCCACATTACAGGGGTTCCCACAGAACCTGAGCCTTCCCCCTTACCCCTGTGCACATGCGACTGGAGGTGCCTCCAGCAAAACGCTTTGATCAGATCTCCCTTTCCAGATCACCTTTCCATTTAAGTGGAAAGGACAGTCCCAAAGGAAACAGGGACACAAAGCACAGACCAGGCACTGCGGAGGTACACAGGATACTTCTGCTTTGTTCTTCCCCAGCCCTCACTGTCCCCTCCCTCCCTGCCTCTAAAATCCCACATGGTGGGTGACCCACGCAGTCCCACTCTGCTCCTCTTACCTGTTGCAGCCCTTCACCTTGCTCCAGCCAGGGCTCTTCAACACTTGCCAGTCTCCATATGCCCCTCTCTGAAAGGATAAGGGGAGCGGGGCGAGCAATGCGCTTCCTGCCTGGGGCGGCACTGCCTCTTCTGTCCAAGATTCTGCAGCTGACTGATCTGCTCCTTCTGAACCCTAAGGAAGGCGCCGCTCTCCGCTCCGTAGCGGCTTTGCCTCCAAGCCGAGCCCGGAGCCGCGCAGCCGCTGGCTGGGCTGGAGGAAGCCGGCTGCCCGGCCATGCACAAAGCCCTGCCTCTGTTGGCTCCTCGGGAACGGCCTCTTCCAAGAGAGCTTATTGGGCTCTGAGCTGTACCTAGGGGTAGAAGAGGAGAAATTATGTTTTGCAGTGTGGCGTGTGCATTAACTATCCCCAGAGTTAATTGCATCTGAATTTCTCTTCTTTCGGACAAAACTTGCTGTCTCCTGCTGCAGTTATTAATCTTTATATTTGTATTGTTTGTGCATAAGTGAGTTGGTTTGTTTCTCCCGTTCCACCCCCTTACCCCCACACACTCTCCCTAAAAACCCAACAATTAAAAAATGTGGATTTTTTCCTTTAATTCCCCTACACTGTGTAATTATATTCACATTAGAAATCAATCAACTCTGGTCATTACCATTAGCGATATGCTCATAAACCAAGCACTAGTCATGCTAATGAACTGAATGAAACATAATTTCTTGTTGTGTAAACTAAAGCTCAATGCTAATCAGCAATAAATTCAATCAGACATTACTTACATCAACCGAAAAACACATTAAAGCCGGGTAAAGCACAGTAACTTCTCATGTCTGAGGGAAGCACGCACCCACCCGTGCCCAGGTGCAGGCTCAACAGTACCTTGACTGCGGGGTATGCATACGATGCCCAGCGCCCTGACGGGACGCGGCCTCCCAGCGAGGGACTCGTTGGTGGCGGGGAGCGAGGGGACCCTGGCAAGAGCAGGCGGGCCTGGGTGCGGCGCTGCGGGCGGGACAGACCACGAGGCCCGCTGGCTGAGGTGGTTCCCGCCAGCTGCTCACGCTTCGCGGCGGGGCCGCCCAGCAAAACCGACAGCGACCAAGGCCCCACCAACCCCTTGCCCGCTCTTACCTCCCTACAACCTGGCTGGCGACGACCGCAGCCAGTCCCCGCTGCCCGGCCGCAGGCCACGGCCGAGTATGCCGCTCAAAATCGCAGCTGCGGCCTATTGGTGCGGGGCAGCCCCAGCGGCCGGGTAGGCCCGCCCGAGGCCAGAAGGGCGGATCCGACCCCAGCGCTTACCCGCACCGCTCAGACAACCACTTGCACCTGGGTCCAGTTTCCTTCGGCCCGGTCACCCCGTCGGAGTCCGTTCTCCTCCTGGGGGTGGAGTACTGCGGGTCGCAAGGCCCAGCATCGCGCCACGAGCAAAACGGCGCTGCCTCGCGGGCCCGCACAGGTGCGAGGCTCGCGGGGAGCCCCGCCCACCCCGCACGAGAGACTGCCGCAAGGAGCGCGGTGCTGGCGCCGCGAGGCCCAGTGTGAACGGCTCCATGCGGCCTTTCCCGTAACCGGGACGGGGCTCTTGGGAAGGGAGTTCCGGTACAAGGGCCCGGCTGCCGAACCGAACCCCACGCGGAAGCTCGGCCGTAGCCCTCGCTTCTACACGCAGGAGCCGCGGGGAGTCTGGGCGGGGCCAGGGCGGCAGCGGGACCCGCCTGTCCCTCCGGGGACCCGGGGCAGGCCCCTGGACGAGGACGCAGGCCCGGGCTCCCCGGGCTGGTCCGGTGCCACAGGGGCTTCGGGGAGTTGGCGACTTTACCTCCACAGTGGGATGCTGCGGTGCTGTGCCTCCCCGGAGGCCTCAGGGCGGCTGCGCCCCTCACAGGGCTTACTCCTGGGTACCGCAAGGCGGTGAGCTGGGGGGGGGGGGGGCTGGCTGCGCGGGCGCGAAGCTGAGGCGGCTTTCGCAGGTAGCCGCGGCGGCGTTTTGCGATAGCCGCAGAGCGGTGATTTGCTGCGATTGGGGGTAATATAATTTCCAGCTGCACAATATTAATGAGACGCTCACAAGCAGGGGGAAACTTTCAGCGGGAGGCGGCGGGTTTATTTGCTTCGTGTTAAGGGACAGGGAAAAAAAGAAAACAAAAAGCGAAACATCAGCACTAGCAGCCCCCGCACCGCCGGCTCTTGCCGGGGCACCCCGCGGCTGCCGGGTTCCCTGAGCGGCCCGCGGCACCTCTCTTGTAACCCGGTGATTTCTGATTCCCCTTGTGGTTCTTGGTGGGGCTTTTAAATCTCTTTGCCCCCTCGCCGCAGTCATGGGGGTCAGCAGCGGCTCCGCTCACCCTGCTCGTCCCCGTCTCTTCTGGGTGAGAGGGTGCGGCGGCTGGGAGAGCGGGCCGCGCTGCGGGAGAGGGGGGAGAAGCCCGGCCAGAAGCTCGGTGTGGGAGCGGCGAAAGGCTTCAGGGTAAAGTAATAAAGCGTCTTATATTGAGAGGAGCGCGCAGCCCGGAGAATCCGATATGTGGATTGTCTCGGGCAGGTTATAACTCCAAGTGAAAACAACTCGGCTGCCTCCCGTTATTAACTCTTCTCCATAAATCTCGGCGGTCTCCCTGCACGGCTCCCGCCAGCGACCGCAGGTGCCGCGGATCCCGCCGAACTCCCAGCGGGGACCGCCCGCGCCTTCCCCTCTGCTGCCGGGCGCAATTCGCGACCTGAGACTGTCGGTATCGCGCGAGTGGGAGGTGTTTGGCCCCCGCGCCCTTCGGTGACAGAGAAGCGGGTGCTGACTCGCGGCCGATGTATTCACTTGGAAACTAAGGGCCGCGGCCACTCGGGATCAGGTTGAGCCTTGCCCAGCCCCGCTCCCGCCTGCCGCTCCGCCGCGGAACCGCCCGGCAAAGGCTGGGGCAGGGAGAGGCTTCTCCGCCCGGCTATTTCGAGGGCAGAACCTGCAAATAAAGCGAGGAGAGTTGCTTACTGTGCTCGTGTTGATCCCCACCTTAGAGCTAGTTCAGTTTCTCCCTGCGAACCGGGATTCGTGCGGCTCCGCCGGGGCCGCACCGCGGAGCAGAGAAGCCTCTTTCACTCAGCGACAGGCTCGTGTCATTGCTTTATTTCACATTAAAGTTTAGATACAATCGAGATCCCCATACACACATTTTAATAAAATTAGTAATCTCTGAGTACTGCAAAATTATAGCATTTACATCTTTAAAAGACTGTAAACAAAATAATACTGGCAAATAAATAATACGAGCATCGAAGTGTACATCATCAGGTATTTTTAGACGGCCGTATAAAATGCGATCCGGTTTACAGAATATGATACACATAAATGCTATAAATAAGCGGACAGAAGAGCCGGCGGGAAACTTCCTAGCGGCGGCTCCGCTTGGGCTGCCGGCACTGCCAGCGGGGCTTGCGCGGCCGCGGGGCCCTGCTCAGGGCGGGGAGAGCGTCATACGGAGGGGGAAGGGGGGGAAGCGGAGCACTGCGGCCGCACCCGCGGGGGCTCCGCGGCCCTGGGACCGCGCCGAGCCGCCTCCTCTCCCTGCCTGCCTGCATTGAGAAACCTCATTTCTGGTTGAGAAAAATAAAAGTCCCATTTAAACTTTATTGAATTAAAGCAAAAATTATTTTTTTATATTCACTCATATATTACGGAGTAATAGTAAAAGTTCAGTATACTTCCTGGCGTTTAGTTGGGCCACATTGTACAAGAGCAAAACAAGCATCAAAACATTTAGCAGCCTTAAATTTCACAATCACTCAGAATTACATAGAAATATTGAAATACTCTAGTCAGCATTGGCTGTGAATAGTTCTTCATGTAGAAATTTTCCCTTTGCCAGGCCATACACAGCAAGAATTTCGTTTTCCCTTCCATCATGGCATCCATGTATTCAAAAATACTTTAATTTTTTGTTTTGTTTTGTTTTAAAAGTTAAACTCAGAGAAAGAGTTAAGATTAACATGTTTTAAAAACAAAACTACAAAATATGCTGTAAAGGACAATGGAAATATCTAAAGTCTACTCGTGTGAGGCAGAAACCATGGGGAAATGGTAGCAGATTACACCAATGACACAGGGATGGGAACAAATTTTGTAGGAGAATATGAAGGGGGGGGGGGGGTGATCAATTATAGCATCTCCCGCCTGTTGGCTGCAACACAACAAAAATAAGTAGTAATTCTTCAAAGCAGGTGTACACAAACCTAAGCAGGATTTAGCTTCTTTAATATTTGAATGTAAAAAGTCTGCTGTCCCCAACTCTTTAAACCCAGCTACCACTTGTGAATTTGTAAGAGATCTCTCCCTTTTCTTGGATAAGAAGTGATTTAAAGTGGGAACACCAGAAATCCAGAGAATGTTGAATACTTCCAGCCTCCCATTAAGTTTCCTCTCTCCAGTTTTAGATAAGCTCTGTCTCCTTTTTCCATCTGAATCAGGACTCCATTGCTAGCAGCTTCCCGGGTCACATCTTGATCCCCTGCAAAGGCAGAAATCACTGGCCACCCATTTAGCATCAAACTCACCTAAAGAGCAAGATAAAACAAAGCCCTCTGTCAATTAAAGTCAGACAATGACACTGCCAGGGCTCGCCTAGCAGGTGAAATGCTTAGTTAAGAAAGGGCCTCTTTTGACAGCTGAAACTCCAGCCCCATAAAAATGAAACACCAATCTGAACCCAGCAAAGGTATGTACTCCAAAGGAAGAAGCCTTTCACCACTGTTTTAGACTGACAACCACATCAAAACACCCGGTGCATATAAAACAGGACATTGATCCTATTTTGAAGAATTTCAATAGGGTGCCTGTGTTTTCAGGCTATGAAAAGAGGTCTGCTCATACTTATTGAAAAATGGCTTTATGCGAAACCTCAGAGACAGCGAGGAGCAGAGCCACAGCTGCCAGAGTCAGCGCGTTTGAAGTGTATTCAAGAGGTAGTTTTCCTTTGTTAGAAAGAGAAGACAATATGCCACAACACAGTCAATAAGCTCTGCCCAGCTCTCATTAATGATCCCAGGACTGCACACCCCATGTTAATAATAAGCTACCTGCCCAATCTGGGTGTGTGAAGGTGTTTATACCAGGACTGAGCTATGCAGCAGTACATTCACCTTTGCAATTGTGCATTGCTACACAGGCAGATTCCCTGTCTAGGTCATGCTACCTGGCTTCAGGCTGGTAATTTGTTATCCCTACCTAGAGATGTGTATGCATCGAACTGCATTCAAAAGGTGTGTAAAGGGTGGCTGCATGCAGTCATACAGAACTACATTCATTACCATCTCCATGCCACAGGCACCTCCCTGCACCCCAAATCCCTATGAAA